TTTGTTCTTTCCTATTTGGATGTCCTTTGTTTCTCTCTCTCTCTCTCTCTCTCTCTCTCTCTCTCTCTCTCTTTTAAACTATAATGGCCAGGACTTTCAGCACTGTGTTACACAAAAGTGGTGACAGTGGTCCTCCTTGTCTTACTGCACATGTTAGAGGACACTTCTGACATTGCTCAGTTAAGTGGGGAGTGATCTGTGGTGAACAAAGTCTTCATCTGTGCATACAGTAGGTGGAGGATGGATATATTAAAAAGGTACACCCAAGTAGTGGGATGATAGAAGTCCAATGCTCCGTTGCTGAATTTTTGCCCAGTTTGGAATGTAGAGTTAATGTTCTCCTCTTATTCAATTGCAGTTTGTTTTTCCATCATTGCATCCCAAGAATGATATTTGTTTTATATGTATTGGGGCTCTATTGTTTCATTCATATGCACATATTAACATAATTGTTTGATCCTCTTGCTATATTGATCACTTTACAACTAAAGGATTTGTGTGTGTGTGTGTGTGTGTGTGTGTGTGTGTGTGTGTGTTGATGGGTTTCTTATAAAAATCTATTTCATCTGACCAGCATAACTATAGTGACCTGCCAGTGACTGTTGCTAAGGAATTGAAATACTATTCAAGATTCAACAAAATCAGTGGACTACAGTTGATGCTACTCAAGAGCCCTTTACTGGGCATCTCTGAAGCATCATTCCAAGATAGTTCAAGGTTCAAAGCATGGGCAGAGACGCAATGATAAACACACAGAGCATTTCTTAGCACTATCAGCAGATATGCCCAGAATACACAAGGTCTTGTGGCCAAAGGGAGGCTGGTTGCACAATGTCCTTGAGTGTCTAAGCCACATTGCTGAGGAGCAGGGAAGTATCTTTCCTTTTGTATTCCTTCAGCAGGTGAAGGCATTCCTCCCAGAGAAGTAAACAAATTCTATGGGAACAGGTTCACACAGCTCTATAACATAGTAAAGTCGTCTTACATGCACGTGTTCCCCCATTCTCCGTAAACTCTTACGTGAAGGTCATATGCTGCATGGAGTTCATGAAGTATTAAAAACTGCAGGGTACAATCAAAATAAAAGTTATAGTACCTGCCAATGGCCCCACAAAGGGAAAGAGCCAAGAAAACTAATTACTCCAGCTTCACCAGGAGATCATGATTTCATTGATGTCCTTGAGCAATTGATCCAACTGTTGTGGGACCAGTTGAGAATGTAATATTGAGGAACACATGCCAGGAACCTGTTCATAGGCAATATGATGTTTCAGCAGTGAGTAATCAATGGCAGCTCAGTTTTTGTAAAGCCAGTATTCAAAGTCCCTTCATTTCTGTGCAGAATTGTCCTAAGAGAGAAGCTGTGACACTGGCAGTTTTGATGAAGATGCAAACTAATTGGGAGGTTTGCTGCCGAAGGTGCACCAGCAGTCATCTTACTGGAAACCAGAAGGCAGCTACCATTTGGCTTTACAACTGCAGATAGTCATTGCAAGTGGATAGTGAACTCCCAGCCATGCTGTGTATGTTAGCTAAAGAGGGCAACAGTGGGAAAACTGCCAATAGGGCAATATCCTGAGAAACTGGCTGGCAATGCCCCAAAATCGGTGTGGTTACAAAGAAAGGCAAAGACCTATTTCCTGCCACAGTACAGTTAGGGGGTGTATAGTCAGTATTAGTACATTCAATAATCATCAATGAGCCTGCACCCAAAAGACAATGGGTAAGACTGAGTAAAATGTCACAACTGAATCACCCTGTGAAGTGATGTTGTCACTTGTGACATTAACATAGTCATCATCCCTTATTGATAGTCAAACCAGATTGTTTGAGGTGATGAACAGATTGTCCCTCCAGAACACAAAGTAAGGTTTTGTACATGGTATCTGTAGCCATTTTTACCCCAAAAGTTGTTGATTAAGAGTAACAGTGGATTCAAATAAGTCTACCTTTAAAGTTGCATTAGCATAAAAATATATATTTCTCTTTTTAAGTTTTGCACAAGTATAATTCCATTTACCAGATATAGAGTTAGGGTCTTTAAAAATACCAGAACTTAGATTATTTCTTTTAGTCTGATCCTAGATTTTCTTCCAAAGGTGACTCATACAATTTGGGCTAAATATCTTTAAGCCATCCTTGCACCAAATAATAGAACCAAGAGCAGTTTCATAATACATGAAAGTACAATTTAGCAACAGTGGAGAACAGCTTACAGCCAAACTCACAATAGGGACAGAGAGTTGACAGATCTCTGTACAGTGTGAAAATGAATGATAGCTAACATCCCAAGGGACTTTGTTGTAGGGGCCACAGCTAATCCTCCTGCCCCCTGAATGAAGTGCTCAGCCTCTTGTGTAAGGTTTTTCCCTCCCTCCCTTGCCCCCTCCCTCCCTCCCTCCATCTCTCCCTCCCTTCCTTCTTTCTCACCTTCCTTCCTTCCTTCCTTCCTTCCTTCCTTCCTTCCTTTGTCCCCAACTTGGTCATGTTACTTGCTGCCTATGAGGCATACTTTCCCCTTCAGGGATGGTGGTTTGCATCTTTTTCAATGATGCTTCAGCTAGGTTCTCATAGTGAAATTATGATGACTCATGACAATGTTTTAATCTTCAGCACCTAAGTGTCCTTTTCATCTTCTATGAAACTACAAACACATCACTAATACCACAGCTTGGCAAGCCTAGGGGTCCAAGTATTATAAATTTTGTCTTTCCACCAAATTAGCTGGTGGTGTTGGCTCAGTCCTATGCTGTTGTGCTTCAAACCACCAATTATTAGTGAAAGTTTCAACTTCTATAGCATATAAAGTAAGATATACTAAATCTTTGAGGGAGGAAAAATCCCCCCTTTATGTTTTAAAGAAACATTTCCATGGTAGGATGTTTATGTTCAACTATGAGTTGTTCCTGCACTTTTAAACAGGATATCTATTATATGCTCAATGTGCCAATCAGCCAGAAGTCAGAAAAGCCAACACTAGCATATGTGAGTGTAAAATAGCAAAAATATGTAGTAAATGTGCAATAGCATGAATGTTGTTTTATTCTCTAGGTAGTACCGTAGCCCATGTGTAACCTGAAAAGGTGTCAATAATGACATGAACAAAGGACTGAACTGAATATGAGGAACATCCATCTGACAAAATCCATTGGGTTTGTTTACTTTGGGAGCAGTTTTGCCTGTGCCTGTGAAAGAAGGAGTAGTTGAAATGGCAATGGAAAGCAATGGAATCCTAAACACAGTGTTTAGGATTTAGACAAAGAGAAGCATTTTTTTTTGCAAGTAAGAGACTGGAATATTGAGCATCTTAGGTTGTTTTAAGCTTAATTTCTTGATCATTCCTTTTTATTAGGGGACCAGGAAGTTCTAAATGAGATCTGATATGAGTAACATATACAGGATGGATTCAATGTCTTATCAATTGTTCAACCTGAAAAAAGTTTAAGAGATATAGTTATTTTCATTTTGTCTAACAGTAGCCATTTTAAAAAGTGGTAATGAAACTGTAACATACTGAGACGCAATCACAGGATTAAATGAACTGGAAACACCCTTTAGCAATATCTGTACACCATACAGCTCATTTTGTTGTGTTCATGAAAAGGACATTTGTGCAATCTTAATGGATGGTCCAGACAAGGCTGTCCATCTTCAATTAGCTCCCTCAATGGGAAAGGGTGGAAGATTTTGTGAACTATCCAAAGAAGAAGTATAGTTTGCTTCAGGCTTAACTTTGACTACATATACAGAAGATAATATAATGAGAGATATAAACCGGTCTCTTCCTCCAATCCTGTCTTTGTAAATGAATTTCATTTCTATTTAACATGACTCCAAACAATTCTTTACCATAGTTTCTGCTATTATCCAGTTTTTCCAAATGGTTAAAACTTAATGAAGTTGCCAGGCGTTGGTGGTGAATGCCTTTAATCCCAGCACTCAGGAGGCAGAGGCAGGCAGATCTCAGTGAGTTCGAGGCCAGCCTGGTCTACAGAGCAATTGCCAGGATAGGCTCCAAAGCTACACAGAGAAACCCTGTCTTGAAAAACCAAAAAAAAAAAAACCTTAATGAAGTTTACAAATACATAAGTGATTATCATGATTAGACATACATTTTAAGTTTTTTTTTTACCACAAATAGATTATTATAACCTTAGAAATTTAAAAATCTTAGTCTTCTAAAATTTGTCATTCTTAAATCCCATCCTTCATAAGCCTTATATAGCTTATTCAGATCTTCTGTGACTTGACTTTAAGATTTTATGATTTTGTTCTCCCCTGTTATTTTTCATTTTAGGATTTTGAAATCTCAAAGCCCACACCCAGTGGCATATTTCCTCCAACAAATCTACACCTACTCCAACAAGACCAAAACTCTTAATAGTGCCACTCTCTGGTGATGATCAAGCTTTTAAATATATGAGCTTATGGGGAACATTCTTATTCAAATCACAACAAATAAAAATAAAAGAGGGAGAAGAGGAAGAATAATCTCCTGTTGGGGGAAAGGGCCATTATTAGACTATCTAGCTATGCAGTTCTAAGATTGCTAGGATCATTTACTCATAGACATATACAAAGTATATTTATGGAGTACTTACAAAATATAAGATAAATACCTAGGACAGTTTTATTCCTTAAGAGATGACCCAGAAGCTGAAGGCCATCACAAATCACCTTTTAATCGGGCCTATTTCAAGGAAATTTTATTATGAGATTTTCTTAGCACTGTTTTTTTCCAGGGCTGTAGGTAAGAATTATAGAAAACATAATGACAGGGAGTGTTAAAGGGCACATGCAAAGAGTTGATGAATACTAGGCCTCAAACTCAAAAATGACATTGTAAAATAAAATTTTAGCATAATTTCTGTGGAGGATAGAGTGGTTCTGACCTGGCAATAAAATAAGAGCTGTGCTGTGGATACTAATTAAATTAGTAGGGCAATAAAAATGGAAAAAGAAGAGACAGCAATAAGAAGATAAAGTGTGACATAAGCAAATCTTTCATGAAACAGACCTTTATTGTAATCCAGATGAAGTTCTGACATTATACAATGGGAGGTATTCCTTGCTACTCCTTAGGAACCACAGATTCCGACTTTGACTTCAAAGGGTACATTATTTCATTTTTTTTAAAGTCGCTATTTTGTTTTAGTAAAATAAACTTATTATATTAAGATTTAAGTGAAAGTTGGTTGCATCTTTGGCAGAGGCATATCTGACTTTCACTGAGTGGTCCTGATTCGAATGAGGAGGCAAACATCAGAAAAGCTGGTAATTACTTAGTTCTGACCTCTTGGGCCTGCTGCTGAGTTTCTGTGGTCGACTCCTGCTGTCACATAGACTGGCCATTGTCTATTTTTATATTCTCTCAGCAGTTAGGAGCATAGATCCAGAGAAGTCTACTTCTCCACGTATTCTGAGTCTCCATGCCATAACTCCCTGATCAGTTTCTGAAAAAAAAAAAAAAGGAAGAGTTGAAATATTTGCTAAATCCAGAAAATGAATTACATACATAAATTTATTTTGACAGTGATAATGTTGAATACTTCATAGGATGACGAATTTCAAACTTCATTTTTTTGAGAGAGAGATAAGAGAGAGAAGCAGGAAAGGTCAGAAGTTTGTGACCCGTCAGTTTTAAAATGCAACTCTCTGGTGAGCCTTAGAGGACTCTGAATACCAGGCAGGAGACGAGGAACATTTCAGAGGCAGAAATCAATAAAAGTCACTGGAATAAAGGAATGTGAGCATGGGGCCATGGTGCCCTCAGCATGCTGCTGACTCTTCTTGCTCCTGATGAAGACTATGCATCTGGGTTCTGAAATTCTCTGTGTGATCAGGTGGAAACATGATGCCAACTGCTGCGAGGAACCTTCGCTAATGCTCACCAGTTCTTTGTGCCTGAAGAGCAAAGATCTGAACTCAAACTACACACACACACACACACACACACACACACACACACACACACACACACACAGACCCTATTGAGTATGAGGAGCTTTTGCTGACATTGAAAAAGACTTTTGGGAAGATGTTGAGCAGGGAAGAAGATGAAATGGCAAGATTGCTGGTTGTGGGACTGTGTGGAAGGCTCAGTATATATCAGGCCCTCGGTGCCAACCCAGCATAGCAAGTCAGTCCACGGAGAAATTATAACACTTGTTCTGTTTTTCTCTATTCTTGATGACTACATTTGTTTCTGTTCCAACATGCCCCGAGAACCTCTGCTTTTGTGTTTTCCAGTTGCTAGGACATAAACAGGCTGGGGAAAAAGAGCATTTCATACTCTCTAGATTATGGCTACATTATTCACTACGTTTTTGGCATGATTGCTTACAGATTATATATTTGAGGCAACATTTAGTTCAGAGGTTTTCATGAAGGTGGATCTTACACAGGCAGGATAAAATTAGGAATTCATCAAGGTTACCTGCAATTTAAGAGTCAAATGGGGGAAATATTTTGAGCAACACACCCCTCTCTTTCAGCAGTCACTAAGGATAAGGGAGCATATGCAGGAACACAAATGTGTTGGTAAAATCTCCAGAAGATGCATTGGAGAGAGAGATAAGAAAGACCTGGAAGAAGTTTATTTTGAGTGAAGCTTGGTAGTTTATCATAGGGATCTGTTCTTGGCATCTTATGATTTCTGCCGAGTGTTCTCTATAAAGAAAGCTTATTCAGGGAAACCCCAAAGGGTGCATTAGGCATGTAAGAAATCACTTGATGTTGCAGGATAGGAGAACCAAAAGGAGTTCAGTCCTGGTGCTCTGAAGCCAGACTGCTGGGATAGCATATATGTAGATCACCATATCTTCCTGTGAACTATTTTAGCAACTATTATCTATAGACAGCTTACATTGTTATAGATTCTATATGTTGAAACTTATGTAAAATTAACTTTGTATTCCTGTCTTGGATGCCACCACAACACAGAGACAAAAAAGTCCTTCATTCACAGAGTTAGCTATCAATCATCCATAGTAACTGAGAGACAGTCACATAGGAAAGTGAAATCAATTTACCAGAGAGATACAAGCACACCTAGGAGATAAAGAACTCATTGATTCTTACTCTGTTTTTTTTTTCTTATTTATGAAAGCAGTGGGGTAGGGCTACAGAGTATCCATGAACTGAAAAGGGCCAAATGTGCTAAAGAAACTGTTTGGTTCAATTACTTTATTCCATTTTTTTTTTGGTCTGCTACTGAACATGTGTTCACTTTCTAAATATATATATTTTTAAATCTTTCTCTGAGCTTTTAGACATTGTCTTCTTTCTGAGCATTTCCCCTAATTTTCTTCATTTTATTAAACTGATTATGACAGGAATGTACAAGTAGATTCAGTTCTGTCAAATTGGTTTACATACCAGAAAAACATGAACTATTAGAATTTGGTTGCTGTTATTTAGTGTTGGAAAGAGATGTCACCAGAGTTTCTCTCTGTCAACAGTTTTCCTGGGTACAACACACTCATGCTTATGGTCAAAGTCTATAATAGGATAGTAGCATGTCATAGAGACTCCTATTGAAAGAGATAAAACTATGCTAGAGGAACTATAGCCATGGTTTTGTTATTAATAAGTAATAGCCATCAAGGTGAGCTTGGTTATACATGACTATTTATTGTATGGCACTGAGAACTATTTGATGTCAATGTAGCATTTGTTGCCTGGAAGTTTAAAGGCAAAACAATGGTGTTATAGTTAGTGAAAGTTCTTGCTCTCCAGCACACTCATCATTTTCTCCTGTCCACTGATGTCCTATGCAGTAACGAGTCTGCCAACATTAGCTCTATGACTTCTTATAATTTGTAAGTCACAGGCTTCCTCTTCTTTGCCCTACTCCTGGCATGTGGGTATGAAAGCTTGTGTTTCCTCCACTCCATGAAATGCAGGCCTTATAACAACTCACATGCCATGTTACGATAAATCTTTTTGCCAAAAGCCGCCTGAGCCCCACCGCCACGTGCGAGCTTTACGCCAGCCGCCCGCCCGAGTTAGGCCCAAATGAATACACAGAGAGACTTGTATTAGTTACAAAGCTGCTTGGCCAATGACTAGGATTCTCATTTGTTAGCTCAGTCTCAATTACCATAGATCTATATATTTTATGGGACTTATCTTATCGGACGCCTTATTGGCGTCCCTCCTTGCTGGTGAATCACATCGCGCCACTGGAGCATGAGCCGAGGGGAAAAAAGAGAGACACTTCCTTTTTCCTCTTCTTAAATATGAGTCTCCTTGCTATGTCACTTCCTGTCTGGAACACCACTTCTCTACTACATTTCCCAGAATCCTCTTTTACTCCTAGTCCAGCCTAACCTGCTGTCTCATTGGCCAAGCAAGTACTTTATTTATAAACATACACAGAAGTATTTTCCCCATCAATGCCACCCTGTGGTATAACTATTTGTGCACAGACTTAAGTCTGATTTACATGTAAATATTGCTTCCCAGTGCTCCAAACTAAAGATTTTACAGCTTTAGGTCTCAGTGGAGTGAATGAATTCATACACATGAATGATGAGTGAGGGATAGAGCACTGCTGGTCAGTGGAGCTTGTATTCTTGCTTTCGTGAATACATCACAGAAAGAGGACATGCTTCCATTACCAAAAGTAGTTCAAATACCAAGACTGATGCTACCACTCCACTCTCACAACCCAGAGGCCTCCAAGGGATTTTTTCGGTGAGTCACTGCTTCCTAAGTGATTCGAGGATTTTTCTGATGATGCACTATGGGAGCCTGATATGGGAATTTCAGAGAGGAGGAAACACAGGCTTTCATACCAGTATGCCAGATTTATAGTACCAGGCACAAGTTTTCTCCTCTGGAACCAGCTTCAGATCTAGTCAGAAAGTAGTAATTTACCTTCATAGCATTCATCCCACTATTGCATCCATTCTCATATCTTCCCAGACCAGCTTGCAGGGTTCATAGCTAGGTAAGACTAGTATGATAATCTTTCTCTCCAAGCATCCATCTTAAACATGCTTTGATACCAGAAAAGCAAGCTCCAAGTTAAGGCCAGCTTGATTTGTCCATGTCCTGTGACCCAGGTGTGCACATCTTCAGCACTAGGGGTCTTATCATTAAACTGTCTTGGGAAACCCAGAGCAATGGCAATAACCTTTATTGTTTTAGTAGTCTATGATATCCCCTCTGATCAAAAGCTTGGGGGGAGGTGTGATGACCATTCTTGGTTTTCAACTTGACTACATTTAGAATGAACTAAAACCCAAACGGCTGAGCACATCTGTGAGGGACTTTTTCATAATTAAATCATTCAAATTGAAAGACCCACTCTTAACCTGGATCTTTGAGGTAGGAAGATCCACCTTTTATCTGGATCACACCTTCTGCTAGCAGCCTATATAAAGGACATGGAAGAAGAAAGATCTACTCTGCTTGCTCTTGCCTTCTCTAGCAAGTCCATTCCTTCACTGGCCTTAGAGCTCACTTCTTTGGGAGTTCAGGAGGGAGCCCCTACCTTGCACTGGGCTTTTTATTTAGCAACTTATAGCTTCTGGGAGGAAAATCATTTCTTATGTAAAATTACTACATTTAAGTGTGTGTGTGTGTAAAATAATAAATTTCCATATGGCTTTTTCAAACATGTTTAGACAAACACCACCATTTGTTGTCTCTCATATGTGAATTCTGGCATCAAATCTTTAGATTTTGTGTCACTCTTGAGATCCATCTTGACCACAGAAACACAGATTGTCTTTCTACTTAACTTAATTCCCAAGGATATCCATATAATAAGAAACCTTGAAAGATACTGTTGGCAGTCATTCTTACTGCTCAGTAAAATACACATTGTTTGCTGCCCATGCAAAAACATTCAAGTCCCCTAATCTCAGCATTCTTCTGGAGTCCACGTGTAGACAAATACATCCCATGATCTCACAATTTAAAGGTCTGATTGAATTTTATTTTCTCAGATACTTGGTAAAACTAAGACCTAAAGAAACTCTATGCCTCAGTCCATTTGGGAAGATATAAAAATATTAGGGATAATTTATAAATAATAGAATTTGTAGTGGCATCCTGTTTTATTAGTGAACTGGTAGTGGTAGCCACACATTTTGGGCGTGGTTTCAGGTGCAGATGTGAGCCATGAAAGTAGAGGAGGGGCTGGCTCACACTCTCTTGGGTTGTGGAGAGCACTGAAAGAACAGAGACTGCATCTTCTGGAGAGGAAGACCTGGTGGATTTTTACTCTTATCTGTGTAAATCTTTCCCTAATAAAAACCTATTTATCATTTATCTTGGGTCTGGTGAACTCATTTAAACCCCACCTTCAAGAGGTTTCTTACAGGTCTGGGAGCTGTAGATCAAAAGTCAAGGTGCTAGCAGATTCTGCTTCTGGGGAGGACGCACTCTGTTCCTAACAGAGCACTTTCTTTCTGCACCCTTACATAATTTACAAATGATAATCAGTTTTCCTCAAGCAGTTTTATGGGAGCATTAAGTTCATACCTGAAAGTGAAGCTCGGGACCTAGTCACCTCTCAAAGGCCCTCCTTCCAAAAATACTGTCTTTTCCAAGACCATGTTTCTGTTTCAGTGAATGAAATGTCTGAACACAAATATCCGCATCCTCGTACCATCCCTCATGGAAGTCTTTATTTACTTTTTATCCCATTTGCCACTCTTTATACACACCAGCCCCCTGAAATAATTTTGAAGATGAAGATAAGAGCACTTCTTTCCATAATAGTCATGAAATTCTAGACTCTGCAAAACTAGATCGAAATAATTAAATGAATCTGTGATCAGAATCATGAAGGTGATTGGAAATCAGCTTTAAAGGGACAGAGAATCTCTTACTTTGTCATGAAAATGGTTCAGAAAATGCAAAGTAAGTGCTGCCCCCACTCCCCTTTCAAGCAAGCTTCTGGGTATACCTGGGATGGAATAATAGTTCTCATCTAATATCAGATGGCCTGGTGTGAAGAACCTTCAAGCACTACTGAAGGCTCTCTGACCTTGAGAAAATTTCTGTTGGACTCTATCTCATCACCTATAAAAACAGGATAATTTAATTTAAATCATATTTTTCTAAAGGATTAGTATGAGCAAGGCCTAGAGAAGACAGCAACCCACACTCTATAGAGGGTCATTACATTTGTCAATGACTTCTTACTGGATCTCTCTTTCCTTTGTTTTTCAACTATAAATCTGCACAAGTGGCACAGCTACTTACATATCACTACAAAATGTCATTTGATAGAACTATAATTCTCCCACTTGACTCCTGAGAAACATACATAGAGCACTTACAAATTAATAGAATATGTCCCTGCTGAACCAAAGTCTTGTTTAAAATTGAGCAAATGCATATAACTCATGATAGAAAGAAAAGAACTTGTCATTCACTGCAGGCTTGCACCTTTAATGAGTGTCTATGGAAAAGCTAAGTAGGTGGTAATAAATATACACATGCTATTCTAGGATGTTAATATTAAGTCTGGTTTATTTTTTATTAGGTTTTATCAAAATGCATTTTCTAACCTCTACATCAGAACTCGGTTCAATTAACAGTGATCATAGTTTGGTGTGGCACATTGACTTTCAGGGTGTAAATGGGTAGATGTACTTGTCTGTTTAAGTAGCAGTTCCAAACAGAAGGTATTTATATAGCAGGTACTAACCATACTATTTCTGTGACTTCTAGTTCCTGGACAGGAGGGTATGTCAGTCTTTCACCAAACACACAGAAATCCAAGATTAAACCCTCAAATGATTTCATGTCCCCTTAAATTTGATGTGACATGGCCCTGTCTGTTCCTTATGGTGAATAATCAATGGTGAAGGGCAAGTACTTCAATAATAAGAAAATACATAGATGCCTTCCAAAAGTAGGTTTGCCTCTAACAAAGTAGAGATCCCATGATGATTTATTATGCACATGTGGTATAGGGCCAAAGGCAACACTACCCCAGCCCATAACTCCAAAACCACCAGAAGCAAACTAGGAAAACCCTAATGCAAACATGGAAAATGTAATTGATTCTGAGATGTTCTACTGGGATTTTGTGGTTGAAAATTAAAGTTTTATGGTCTTAGCCATTCAATACTATGAAATTTTTAGTCATATTCAAATTAAAAACATTTTTCATAAGCTGTTGTGGATTCTATTAATATAGTGTGGGTAATATTGATATAATTCATAAATTGTTTTTGAAAAGTTTGAGCAATGCTGTTGTTTTTTGAAGAATTGCTTCATGGACAAGTATTCATAAATGGCTTTTTGTGTATGTGCCACACAGTTCTACAATTTGGTGGTGGACTAATTGGCTTTCCATTGTTGTGATAAAAATTAACCAAAACCAACTTTGGTGGTACATTTATTTTGTTAACAATTCCACATCACAGTCCACAGTTGAAGGAAATCAGGACAGGAAAAGCCTGGAGGCAGGAACTGAAGCAGAGACCATGGAGGAGTGCTGCTTCCTGGCTTACTCCCTGGCTCATACTCAGTGTACTTTCTTATACAGCCCCAAACCTGCTGAGGGATGGTACTGTCCCCAGTACACTGGCCTTCCCATGTCAATCATTAATAATAATAATAATAATAATAACAATAATACATACTGTACAGATCTGTCTACAGGCCAGTCTGATGGAGGAATTATTTCAGTTCAGGTTCCTTTTCCAAGATGCCACAAGCTGATGTCAAGTTGAAAACAACACAAAAATAAAACACTTTAAGTAATTAATGAAATTGTTATCTATCTTGTATTAAAAATGTTTCAACATGCTGTCAGAGAGTTAACTGGCATATCTCTACTATTCCTACCATCTTATGTCAAGTGGTTAGTGTTTCTTGTGTCAGATAATTTCCTCTATTTACAGTACACTATTCCCAGTTACTTGGTTTCTAAAGAATAATGTTATCACAGAGATACTGAGTATATGTAATTCATGCACAGTTGACTGTTAACAAGATGTAACTGGTGTTTCAACACTACCCACAACTGTCAGCTCAGAGCAAGGTAATCTTTTTCTGATTTGACCTTCAAGAGTTCTGTGCA